AACCCGAAGCCTAAAGGAGAGTTTTTGCATCACGGCAGGGCAAGAACTCGGCTTGGCGTACAGCAGGTTCGCACCCTGCAGTGCCATGATGCCAGGAAGGCGACCCTTTAGATTGAGAGCGTCTCTCACACGCTGCAGAATGGATGCCTGAATAGAAATCGACAGTAACTACTGTTCCCCAACCTCTGCTCAATTACAATATAATAACTGCAGAAATCTGCCGCAAACCCTATTCTAGTTATTTAGGCCCCTACTTAGACCCCTACATTATACGACATGAGGGAGCCTTTGAGCGATGCATCGCTAGCAGCCTCACTTTTCACCCATTGAAGAGTGTCAGGGAGTGTTCCCTTGCAACAGCTCGCTTAAGGACTTCGTACTGCATTGCTAAAGCCAAGTCGTGCCACATCGTTCTCAAAGAAGACGCAAGCTCATGCTTAGCTGAGTCATGTCATGTGGAGCTAAAGGGGGCGGTGCTGAGCAGGGGCTTCACGAATCAGAGGATTTCAGCCCAAGCAGTTCATAGTATGAGCGATAAAGTCTTCATAAGTTCTCAATGTCAAGCTGCTACTAATTAAATCTTCCCAAGATGCTATCTGCCTCATTATGAGGACCCTGACCTGAGAGGAGACCCATCATTTGGAAGCATCTTGATCTCTGAATTTCTCAACATACGGGCAATCCAGGGACCTCAACAACACATGTGAGGGTCATGAGCAGATTGCAAGGGTCACCTCTATGGAGGTTCTGGGATTATTTTGGGCTATCCCCAGATGGTTTGTGAATGGAAGCTTCGAACAACCCCTGAAAGCTCAAAGGACCTTGCTTTACCCGACACCACAACACCCCAAAGCCCAGACCATCATCCCTAAGCCCTGAGCCCTGCACCTCTTCATATGAGCTATAGCCTAAACTCCTTAAAGGGGATTATATAGGGGATTGTATAGGGGACTTCTATTGGGTTTGTTAAGGGGGATACTAGGACTTTAGACTATAGCTCATATACTTCCTGCAGAGTTTGAAGGCCCTTCGCCGGTTTGGTGCGGTTCCAAACTCGTGCTGGGCCGCAGGAATGAGCCGAGCGCCGTGTCTCAGAACCCTTTAAAGAGCCAGGGGTAGGGATTCAGAGGTAGGAGTCAGGGTTAAAAGTCTCGCGACTGTGTCCCGGCTCCTATGGGAAAGAGGGCTAGCAAATGCTTTAAGACATGTATCCCATTGCGCTCAGAGGATGTTAGTGGAGAGCCTGTAGCCGAAACCTTCAAGTAATTAATTGTTGCATCAGCTTTGAGATGCGTGGGTTGGCGGCTTTTGGGATACGGGCTGTCGCACAGTTTAGGATTCAGGGTCTCGGGAGGGCTTTTCTTTTGAGGGTGGAACCTGCCCACAGGTATTGCTTGGGAAATAAGATTGAATTTTGACTTCTAGGTTGAGTTAAAGTGTCGATTTCAAGTCATGCTTTCAGGAATTTCGGATTCAGATATCTGGTGATGATCAAAACGATTCTAAGATCTTCCAGGGACAAGCCATGCAAATAACTAAATCGAGTTTAATTCTCCGCTTTCCTCATTCCTCAAGCTGAGACTTGAAATCGATTTCGAGCATTTTCCTTTTGGGTGGCTCTAACCAAATTTAGGCTTATATTCCATGGCAAATGCTTGCAATCGATTTCAACAAGCTTTCCTTGACAAGAGCTTGTCCATTAGGTCTTAGAGCCAGATTTAGGGGCATGCGCAAGACAAATTCAAAGTCAAGAGCTGGGTTGAGACGCGGCACCGCAGAAAAGATTAAAGATTGATTTTAAGTCCCTCCGTGTGCCTGGGCACACCGCCGGACGTAAAAATCGATTTCTAGTGAAGCCCCCGGCTCTATACAGCACACTCTCCGAGCAGGACTTTAGATTGATGATTTTAGGTCAGGGCTGAAATCAAAATCCAGAATCATCCATTGTAAAGTTTTCATAGTATGCCTAACTGGCTGACCCATTGCATTCCTACATGCCAGTTACTCCCTTCTTGCTCTTTGTAGACAGAACTCCGGTAGAATCCCTGCCAGGTTAGCATGCCTGGCCTGAAGCCCTGCACCAAGCAATGAGTGTATGCAAGCCCTGAAACCTAAACTCGTACCTAGACCCTAAAAGTATGTTTAAAAATCACCCTAAACCCTTAATAATAGCCATAAAGGCCATTATTTTACATACTTTTGGGGTCCAGGTAGGTCCTAGGTCCTAGATTGCAGGCTTTGACACTCTCAAAGGTGCTTTGCTGCACCGCAGCTGAAACGAGCCCATGCTTTTCCGCGGAGGCCGGACTTTAAGCGCGGAGTGTACATGGGTCGAGGGACTAGTGTCGGGGTTTTCCGGTTTGGGGTAGCACGGACCCGGAATCGAAGCATCAAGTTGAGGGCTTGGACAACAGCCGTGATGAAGGTACACCCCTTAAGTAGATAGAATATGGGGCATATGGAGTTCCATCTACTTAAGGGGACTATATCTACAACAACCTTAGCACCCAACTCCACAAGACCATGAGTTGGCACAGGTGAGGACATCGCCATATTGTCACAAGCACTGCTCCCTCTAAGCTCGCGGCTGAACTAGCCTTTTGTCGTGGAATCAGCAGTTCAAATGGCAGAGGTGTTGCTAGGAGTTCAGAAAGGATTTGATGAGGACTTTGATGTGGTGCTTGCAGAGTTTTGCCACCCTAGAGTCCCATCAGGGATCCTTCATGCTCGCAGCCTCAAGTCTCAACAAGCAAGACCTGGAGTTCAGCAAGGCTGTTCGATTTTCGTGAATGGTAGTGGCCTTGCAACAACATACTGAGCAAACGAAACCACACTGAAAACACTATTGAAACTGAGATTATCTAAGGCGGTACCTGGGCACAATCTCCCCCGCCAGTGAAGCCCCACACCATCTTGTAACAAGCGTTCCCTGTATATCTTTGTACTGCACGGGAATATTTGCGATGAGGGGAGAAGGGGCTTTGATGGGGAAGATGCGGTCGAGAGCAGTAGCAACGATGCTGCTGATATTGAAGTGCTGCATGACCTTTCGTATACCAAAATACATACTCTCCAAAGCATGAGGTAGTAACGGTCATGCGAGATTCTTAGTATCATCCGTAGCCGTGAGAGCTATGAGTAAGCCGGGGCAGTCGGTCGCCCGCCTCCCGGGACGCTGTCTGCGATGGCCGGGTACCCAGTGGGATATGTTACTCCGTTCTGCAAAGACCAGAAAGAGGCTTCATGTGAATCATCTCTGGGTGCTATGTGGTCATGCGTGCTTTGAAGCTTGCGCGCAATGTCATCATACTTGAACTGCTAGATGAGTTCTATCTGATAGAGTATGTAGAAAGTTGCCATGGACATTCTCACCCGATGATGATGATGATGATGACAATCATGATGAGAAGCACGAAAGTATCCCAGCGCTTGCTGTTGCCCATCATTCTTCTCAGTCTCAGTAAGGTCGACCATGAGACGGCAAATGGAGAATTTCCACGGCGCAAGGCAGCTTGCAGCATGTCGCTGGAATTTCTCAAAAATAAAGGTTCCTGCTATCTGCCATGGATCCGGTCCTCTTTATTGGGTCCAGAACAACACTCCTAATCTTCCAGAATGTCCACCTGCAGATGCTTTGTAGATCTGAGCTTGAAGTCTTAAACTGCAAGGCGTGCCACCGCTCTGTTTCCGGCATTTCGCTCCTCCTGTGGGCAGCTGGTCCAGTTTGTAGTCAACCGGGAATGGGTCATCAGTCTTGATGGCAGAACATATAGAGTTTTCAGAAGCGGATGAAGAGCAGCGAACGGAATCTGGAATGGAAAAGGGAATGGTTCCTGTACACGGCGCGCGGTTCCAAACTTTGTGAGTATATATATATATATCTATAAACTTTGAGTGTGTATATATATATATTTACAAGGTTATTATTGCTGCGATTACTATTATTCTACTTACTACTTTATTATTATGAGTATTATGTACTTTGCACAACCGAGGCGGCAAGGCTCAGCGTTGCTAATGCAGCTGAGCGGTGTCTGCCACAGGGAATCCTGGAGCCGGAACGACGATACATTTCAAATAGCTCTGGGCAGCTAAGCCCGGTACGCTTTGTGGTAGCTGTGTCGTTGTTAGACAAGGGTTTAGGGTTTTAGGGGTTCAGGGATTTAGGGTTTAGGGTTAAGGGGTTTAGGATTTGGGGTTTGGTTTAATACCTTGTTTTCAGCTTCTGCACGGTCTCGACGCTTGAGACACGTGTCATGAGGACTCATTGGGGTGGTGCTAAGGGTCCTAGTTTGCCGACATTCCCCTTTGACCGATACCCGCATGAAAAACACGGAGCCCTATACCCTAAATGGTGGAAGCCGCATTGTTGCTCGGACTGTGCCCAGTGATGACCCAGGTCTATCCCTGGCCCGAATCCAGTGTGCTCACTTCCGTGGCTGAGATCCTGGTGTCAGAAGTCCTCGGCTTTTTGGTTTTATATGAGCAGCACGTAGAGGGACTCCAGGCTTTGGGAGCCATTTTTGCCCTTCGTAAGACGGATCTAGAAAGCAGGTATGCTAGAAACCTGAGGTTATCATGTCGCGAGAGATCCGAGACAGATTGCCTGGGCAAATGAAGGGATTTTCAAGTTGGCCGGATGCTTGGACATTGACTGCGCCGTGGCAAGTCCGCTCAGAAGCGATGTTTTGTTGGACACCTGGCTGACCTCAGTGCAAGTCTTCTTTGACGAGTTCCGTGCCAAGAACAAGGATGTGGCTCCAGAGGATTTAGGCTCCATGGGTTATGAGTCAAAAGATGGTGTTTACGTCGCTGGTGCAGTCCGTGACGCCGCTTTGGCAGATTCTGGCCTCCCCTTGGAATACTACACCAGTTACAACCTGTCCTTTCATGAGCCTCAGAAGTATTTTGACAGGGTATGGGACTTGCCCGCAGCGGACTTGGCCAATTGCAGCGACTTCTACTTTGGTCAGCCATTGGAATTCCTGGATTCTGGTGCAATGCAGAATTATTTGCGCTGGACTGGCGACTTGGAAGGCGTGATCGAGCAGAATGGTCAGTTTTCTGCTAACTGCTCTAGGGAGCTACCTGCTTTCTGGCTGGCACCTCCATGTCGACGCAATCATTCATTGTGCATCCCAGCGGTCATGTCTGGGCAGGGCTCTACAGAATCCTGATGGTCATGGCAGTTGTTTTTGTATATTCGCAGAAACACGTTTCACAAGTAGCAGGCAACGTGACTCCTTTTGCCGCAGCTGCGGCCCTTGTTCTAGGACATGAGTTGTTTTTTGTTTGAAATCCGTGCTTAGCCGTCCAACGTCAGGCATATATCATGCAATGGGCCACCACCTACGGCATTCCCATGGCAATTACCCATACCTCCGATACCTCCGATACATTGCAGTTGGTTCGAAATTTCCGGATCCTCTTCTACTGGTACGAGCCCGACTTCTATGCCTTGGATATAGATCCTATCCGGATGATCCTGCCGGAGCACAGTCCCTCTGCGTGGGCTTCCGGTGATTTCCGAACAGGACTGGGGCAGTTCGTAACATCTCACCCCATAGTGTGGCTTACAAAAAACTGTCCCGAATAGAATGAATGTGAACTTGCCAGAGGAGCTACGTCCATCTACGTTGGGAAGCTTGTCAGCTCAAGTCTTCGCACATCTGCGCCTAGGGTGAGGAAAATGCTGGAACACATGAAAGTGGAAGCCCCCCAGCTGTTGCAGCTGACAAAGGGTGCTGAGGGGACTTTTGATGTGGATGACGACAAGCTGCGTGAATCAGCCTGTGACTGGCTTAAGGCGAACGTCAATATTTGGGAGCAATGGACACCCGGCCTGGTATTGAAGACGTTTTCTTTGCAACATCTTGCATTGGCAATCATAGGCAACATTAAACTCATGCTGCTGAACTGCGGGTTTAGCGGAAATGCGCTGCCCATGGCATAGAGTCCTTTGCAGAGACCTTACTGTGCCCATTCTGCTTTCCCATACAGTGGGATCTGCAAAGTTGGAACGTTGCTGTCCGACTGTCCCCGAGTGCTAAACATCGCGGTAGGTGTCAAAAGCTGCTTCAGCCCATGTTACTAATAACAATATTAAATACTATTACTAATACCACCATTGATATTGGTACTAATATTAATGGTTCTAGCCGTTCACTGTGCCATACAAGAAGCAAATGGCAGTTAGAATAGGGGCTCAAGGTAGAGCGAGGGTGCCCATGTTGAAGCTTTGCCTGGCTTCTAAGGATACCGGTCGCCACGGAGTGTGCAAGTACCTTTGGCTTGGCTGATGCTGCTGGTCTTCCTGTTGCGTTTCGAGCCCAAGCCACGCAATGCCAGGTTCAACCTTTGTATAAAGCCCATTAGGTGGACCCCCCACCCAGTAATAGTAACTATAGGGGATAATGTTAATTATATTAGGGTCCTCTTATAATCTTATTATACCACTATTACAGGGTGGGGGGTCCTCCTAAGTTCAAACCTTTGTATAAAGCCCATGTCAACTTGAGGCTTGTTTGTTTTGAGGACAAGTAAAGTCGCTAAAGACTGCCCTTGGAGATCGACAGGTGTTCTTTCCGAGACCCTCCGGACCCATTCATCCTCCAAGCCTGTGCGCGCCCGAACAAAGCTGAATAAGAAAAAACATGCTCAAGCCAATTCCTGCTACCTCCAAAAGCCTCAGCCCCTAAACTCAAGCGACGACCGAGACAAAAATCTCTCCCATGAAGGTTTGTCCAGCAGGCCGATTTTCCATGGCAGTGTCGGATGAGGTAGGGCCGACATACGTTTGTCACGAGTGTCCTGCGGGCTCCCATCAGAGCAGACACGGCCGAAGTATCTGTTCAGAATGCAGCCCGGGCAGTTTCGCCCATTCTCCGGGGCAGTCTATTTGCTCTCCCTGCGAGAGGGGCAGCTACGTGAACAAGAGCGGGGCGACCAGGTGCTTTTCTTGCGGCCCAGACAACTCTTGGACCACCAGCCAGCCAGTGATAGATTCCTTTGGGGAGGAGAGATGGGTTGAGATAGAAGGAGCCTCCTCCAAAGCTCTCTGTAGGTGTCTCGAAGGACGATTCCTGTCTTCAAGCGGCCAATGCCTTGTCTGCATGGAGGGATCCTACTGTCCTGGCTCCGGACTCTTGGAACTTCTCCCTGGGCATCATTCCACTGCACGTGCCTTGCATGCATTTCTTTGCAAAGTGCCGTCCTCGTTCTCCTTCTCCTTCTTGTGGCCGTGGTGAGAGCTATATGGCTGCTGCTGCTGCTGCTGCTGCTGCTGCTTTTGCTGTAGCATCTTTTGCTGTAGCGTGGTGTTGGTGCTGCCGGGCTGCCGCCGCCGCCGCCGCATCCGCTGCCGCAGTTGCTTTGCTGCTACTACTTCATTTTGGTGTTGTTGTCATTTTAGTCTCTCGCATGTGATGCTTTGTGATATCTCCTCTCGTTGTCCTTTTTGATTTGTGTATCAGAGTTGTTTCAACAACCTGTTTGGTGTGACTATGCTACGGCTGAAGCCATGAATGATCACAGATCTGCAAGCTAAGCCCCTGATTGCCCTCAGACAGAAGCTTTTCTTCAGCACCTTCAGTTTGTAGCGCTGACTCTTTGCGAGTGCTGTATACATGTTACTTCTGAAAATGATGGTTGCCTGGTGAGTCATTTTTACAAAGAAAGACCAGTAATCTGGGAATCAGAATATGAGAGGACCCTAGTATTTATGGTCCCCCTTAAGTAGATAGAATATGGAGTATAAGGGGATCTTATAACATAGCCAAAGCCATGAGATCCCACAGCCTGCCCCGCGGAAGCGGAATGACCAGAGACCACATCGGAAAAGGACAAGTACCCAGAACCCATCAACCCCTACAATCTTTCGAACCACATAAGGCCTAAACTCCACGGAGGATCCAAGTCACATGGTATCCCCAAATTTTGAACAAGATCCTCAAGCTAGCCCACTATCATTCCTTGGGTTTGCCCCATCGATATTTCAAACGTTAAATCAACATTTCATGGGGGCAGAGGTGATCCTGGATCTATCTTACGATGCTTTGGTAATGCGGCGCGTTGTCCGGGTGGTCCTCCGGGGACTTGCGCTGAGGGTCGAGATCCGCGGTCACCGAGCCTCAACCGTGTAGAGTTCAGGGACCAGGGTTATATATATATATATAGGTTTTATAGACTTCAGGAATGCACATGTTTCCTCATGATCTACCTGTACCATGTTGGCACAGTTCAAACAGTATCCACCCGTCAGCAGCAGCTTAAATGGAAGGCATTAGTGAGAAGCAGCCACGACGGAGAGGTTTTTGAAGACCACAATCGTGAAGCCATGCAGTATCTCCACAAGCGGCTGCACAAGAATTGGGCACATGTCAGCAGAGGTGCTGTTCGCACTTGGCTTTCAGTTTTTCCAGAGCCTGCTCCACAGGCACTTGAAAAGTTATTATTGCTATGGTTGTTATTACTATTATTATTACAAATATTACTACTAAGACTATTATCCCAAAACTTCTTCCCAAGAGCAAACAAGGAGTTGCAGCAGCTGCCTTCCAAATTTGCAGGCGGATGGTGCCCAGCTCAGTTGAAGAGCCAGATCTGCCTACGTGCCAGCATTGTCGAAATTTTACAGGACAGGGTTTAGGGTTTAGGGAGCTTAGAGTTCAGGCTTTCACCGAAAATTCTGAAGAGGGCCATGTAGACTCCTCATAGCATTCCGATTGTAATCTTGTCGTTGGCAAAGTGCCGAAATGCCTGCAATGGAAAAGGGCTTCATAAAGTTACATGTGCTTGTGCCTAAGCGGCAGGTCGCATTTTTTATGTAGGGCTGTTTAATGCTGTTTTGGGGTGTGTAACACTTCCCTGACCTGGAATTGCATAAGGAGTTTGAGGGAATAGCCTTTGTGAACATCCATGCTTCTACCACAGTCCCCGCATAGTAGCTGGCTTGGGTATTCTAGTTCTGAATTCCTACAGAAGTACCCAATTTCTTCAAGGATCTAAGGAAGATCAGGAAAGCACCCTAAATTTAGTGTTTATCAAGAAGCCCCATTCCACTGATGTTCTTTCCGAATCCTTTTGATCGTGGATTATGCCGGCGTGGAGGATGCTATAAAGCGAGTGTTGTATTTATGCTTGTTCACAATTGAGGCGGCAGAGTCCTGACAAACAACAACCGCACTCCCACAGAAATTGTCACTACACCCTGGCTCACAACCTCTGCGGACCACCTGGAATAATAGGACAACATACAAGGTACTTGTCACAAACTCTAACAGCCTAACAGGCAGGAATGCAAAATATCTGAAAATCAGAATGCGAAGAGCTCTCACAAAATTCTTTCATGAAATGTGTCATCCCACCTCTCACTGCTTGAGGAGTAGCACCACAGCTATGCTTAAAGCTTTTGTAATTTTTTTACGCGCAGTCAGCTGGGTGCTCCTCAATGCTAAACTCAACTTGAAAGAGCCCCGCCCCGCTGCTATAGTCATTACTACATGGACCTCCAACCCGTTTCTTGAGCAATGCGAGATCGTTGATGACTTCGCTAGATAGGAATTTGTTTGCGCATTTCGCAAAGTACGGGTGGCCCATCTACCAACCAAAGGCACGCTTCCTAGATACTCACGTGCAGACTTCGCCAAGAAAAAACCGTGATTTTTCCGAAGCTCCCAGAGAACAATTCCTATTCTGATGTTCCTTGAGAAGCCGCATATAATTAATGCAGCTCGTTACCTCAGAAGGCTTGTTCCTACAGCCACCGCCCAGGCGCAGGGTGCATTCCCTGCTCTGAAGGCGACTACGCTACTGGGCTCTTCTATTTCAATTGGGTACTGCCCATCACCCATAACAGTCTGCAGTAGGGTTTGCAGGGTTAATATTGTTGCAAAATATACTCTATTGTGCAGGATCAACACATTATGTCAAACATCCCCATGGTGCCTAATATGTTTATTTTGTCCAGGCGGATCACAACCACCCAAATCCGCAGCAACAAGCGCGCCCCGGCCCCCAGCCCGAATAATCAACATTCCTGGCGCGAAATATGTTCATGAGCAGATTTTTTTGTTAAAATCTGCGGCCACTCTATCTCGCATAAGGGAAGCAATATCTCCTAGCAAAATCAAAAGGTCATCAGTATAGCATCCCTCTTCAAGATCCCCTTATCTTCTATATAATCCTTAACGCGCTCTGAATAATTCCCTTGAATTGGCTCCTGTGACACATAGCCCGGACCTTTCAAAAGTTGTCTCTTGATTAAGCCTTCCTGCCTGGACCCTTTAGAGGCCATCATACAGGGAAGTTGGGGTCCTGGCACTTGGTGTTTCCTACTTGAACCAGCTGCGTTTCATTGCCGGGCGAAACGATTACTAGGTCCTGATGATGCTTGTAGTAGTGCTTACTGGCTTCTGATTACATCCTTGTGGATGCGGATGGGGTCACCTCCCCACATGAGCAGTATTAGGATAGTTGCCAGTTGTGGCAGCTACACTTGGACACCACCAAGCAAACAGGTTGCTACAACGAAGCAACCAATAACCTACGAGCATTATTTTCACTCGTACCTGCAGCACCCAGCACAGGTGATACTTGGCCAACCTTTCCACGTTAAAGGGTTGCTTCTCATAGTTGCATCACAGCATGGTCTTCATTCGCTTTTTCTAAAGAGAGAGTCGCTATGTCGTAGTTGTTTCAGGGATGGGTCCTTCGAAACAGGACTCAGCGCTTTTGTGTGTACAGGTGGATCCGCGTTTGGAGTACATACCCATGAAGAGGTTAGGTGCTAATCCAGTGGCACCAGCCTTTTGCTGCCAAAACCCTTTGATGAACCATGTGGGTACTTCCCAAAATTAGGGTCTCATTTTGGCACCTCTCCATATTAGGTGCGGTAATATGATCTATATATAACCCAAAAGGGCCCATGACCTCGAGAATAACACATGTGATTTGAGACCTGAGATGTACAATATGAGCCCATGAACAGCCTCCTCAGGAAGATGCCTCTACCTTTGTTGTGACGTTTGGTACTTTCCATTAAAGCGGGGCCCCCAAAGTCGTACCCCTAACTTTGGGAAGCCCCATTTGGGGTGGGTTACACATGGTTTTAGTAGGTACCGGCACACCCTCAAGCAATAGCCTTCTCACCCAGAGGCATTGCGGTTTTGGCGTCCTTAGAGCCCGAAACCCTAGATCCTAAACTGCAAACCCTAGATCCTAAACATTAAACCCTAGATTCTAAATCTTAAGCCCTACATTTTAAACCCTAGATCCTAGTCGGAGAAGTAGTGGCGCGGGACACAGAAGATCCCCAACCCACTAGCTTCAATGTTGGTGTCCTATACACGTTCCATACGGAGCTCTGATTAGAAGATTTGCTTGTCTGGGATCTGATGTCTTTACCCCCTACCCTGAACTCAAAAAATGGATCTGAGATCTGAGGCTCAGCTGGTCTTACTGGGGCTGCTGATTCTTCTTGGCACAGGAGCCTAAACCCTAAACCCTAAACCAATTGGTCGTTTCTGCACTGCTCAGCGGAGTGGAAAAGAGACGTTGCAAAAGCAAACCTAAACCCTAAATCCTAAACCCTAAAACCTAAATCCTAAACCCTAAATTCTAAACCCTAAATCCTAAACCCTAAATCCTAAACCCTGAATTCTAAACACTAAATCCTAAACCCTAAATCCTAAACCCTAAACCCTAGGAGCCTTACACGTCGTGCTCACCTTTGCTTATCGCAGCGGTCGCGGCGCCTGGTCCTGAACCAGGTTTAGGGCTCAGGGCTCTTAGGGCTTGGGCTTTGGGGTTTAGGACTTAGGCTTTAGGATTCAGGGTGTAGGATTTAGGGGTTTAGGGTTTAGGCTTTAGGGTTTAGTTGGTGCTTTGCTGGGACAATCGCCCCGTTCATTGTAAATTTGCCTTGGCACATACCAGAGGGGCGGGGTTGGCAGGTTGTTTGTGCAATAAACATGCCTTATTTGTGCTTAAGGGAGAGGGGGGGAGTGGACCCTGGATAGTCCCCATATTATCCTCAAATGTACCATTATAAGAATCTCTAAGTTCACTCCCTCACTCTCCCTCAAGCACCAGTAAGATGCAGGCGTAGTAAGGAAATGGGCATCGGTGTAAGTGGCTGCTCGAAAAGGGACACTGTAGCGTAACTCCAACTCTCAAGACAAGGACCCTACGCCAGTCATGTGATAGTCAGAGGATTTGTTATGCCTTGGGTTAGCAAATTTGCTCGGCT